CCGGAACCGCCGGCCGGACGGTTCAACAGGTTTTCAAAAAATTTTTTAAAAATAGTTCGGCTCAAAAAAAAAAAAAAAAAAATACCTTGTCGGAGAAGAATCCTTTGCCGAGGCCGTAGAATTTTTTCGACATTTTTTCGGATTTTTTTTGATGCTCGAATCGTTCGTTGAAGTTCGGAAAATTTAGAGAGATAAAGTTTAGAGAGATGAAATCCAAAAAAAGGTTAAGGGCAAAAGAGTAATTGGGGGGGGCGGTGACAAGTAAAAGGGGGGCGGTGACAAGTAAAAGGGGGGCGGTGAATAGCAGTTGAGTTTTGAACTAACCACATAAATAGATAGATATGTAATATGGTACTTCAATAAATATTCCAACGCTGCAAAATCTATCACGTTGAACACGGTTTTCTTTTAACCATGTACGTTACTTATTATTATTATTATTATTATTATTATTTGTTTTCTTTTTCTGATACTTGGTAAAATATTTAAAATAAAAAGTCTTTCTTACCGCTTGTGTCTGCCTTTCAATTCTCGTATTAAAAATATGATTTTATTTGAATTTACTGAGTCATTTATTTTGAACATATAATTTACTTTAAAATAAATCGTAACAATAAAAAAATATGAAAGAAAATATATAACATAAATGAACAGGAAATAATACGTGCAATTTTAGAGCAGGATGAACACGCATGTGATTTTTTATAGCGGGCAGTCGCGAGATTTTGTTTGAAAGAACATTTGAAATCGAGTGAACAAGCAGAGAAATATTCATACATATATGCTTGATTCTTCTGGGATACAGATACATGATTTTTTTACCCGGCACTACTAGAAATTAGAGACTCAGAAACAGAAATTATTGTTGCTTAAGGGTATTTTCTGTTACTAATATACAACAGAAACAAATTTATGATGAATAAACTTGCTTTAAATGTGTTCGAACGTTTGAGTCAGTATATTACTATTTCACTAATTGTGTTTGAGAATTTTGATTGTGATAAGTGTAGCTTGTTGTACCGATTATGTGGTTTAATCCAAGCTCAGGTCATCTTTTCGAAGGACTGCTCATAGTTAAATCTCTAATTAGGTGCAAAAGCATAAAAACAAGGACGGATCTAGAAATTTGTTTCGAGGGGGGCTATATATTTTTTAGTAATCATAGATTCAATTTAATGTACATAAAAAATAAAAAGTTGTATTATATGTATATATATATATATTAATATAATGCAATATAAATTATAAAGTTTCAAACATTAACAGTAACAAATTTAGATTGACGTTCCCTCAACTCTTGAATTTCATTAATGATTGACTCAATACTAATAGTTTTTTTTTCATTAAGCATATCTTAAATGGTCTTCTTTTTCAAAAATTACCAATTTATTTGTTTTCACATATTTACCATACATTCAATTTATTTAAATGAAAAAAAAAAGTTATACAAAAGTGTAAAAAGAGTATAATTGTAGTTGAATTATTAATATAAAAAGTAATATATTTATTATTTTAATATAATTATGTAAATTTATGTGAAAAATAATATATATATATATATATATACTAGAAATTACTACAAATCTTGGCGGGACAAAAACCCCCCCTATCATACATATAAAAATAAAAATAAAATCATTAACATTATAGTGAAGTTGGTTGGTTTGAGATTTTAACTAAAGTTAACTAAGAAACATGAGAGCAATTTACGTAAAATTATAATGTAAAGTATAAATAGAGTCACTTGTGATATAACACATAAGAGTAGCTCGGTGAAACCGATCGAGGTTAGCTCGGTTTATAAAAGAAGATCAGCTAGGCTGGTTAGATAAAGAAGTGAAAGCGTTCAAGTAGCTCAAATTAATTGGGTGTAAGATACAACTAAGCGTATATGAAGTCGGGGCCATATGTTAATATGGATAGCTCGGCGTTTTTGTAGCTCGGCTTATGTGGAGCGAGGGTCCTAGGCCAATACGAGTAGTTCGACAATTATGTAGCTCGGCACTCATGTAGCTCGACCCTCATGTATGTAGCTCATCATAGGCATATTTAGAGAGCTTGGCATATGTTAATATGGGTTAACCTAGCTAATAACATATAATTAATTGATAGCTCGAGTATTGAGGACCTCGATACTTAGTTGTTCGATAAGTGATGCTAGTGAGAAGACCGAACTATGCGACAGGTCGGGTCTACGCTGTCCATAAGGGACACATGTAAGGTCATAAATGAAAGAAATAAGGTTTGGATAACTAATTAATAGGCAGGCCTAAGGGTAGCCTATTTACTGACGGGCAGCCTATTCGGGCAAAAAGAGCAGTAGGACAGGGGCAGAAGCTTGTTCAGGAAGCTAAAAATCCTCTATAAATAGGTAAAGTTGGGAAAAGCTAATAATCACTCTATATACTCTAAACTTTTCAATTCAGTTCAACATAGCTTTCCATAACCCGTTATTGACTTGAGCATCGAAAGTTTAATGTTGAGAACATCTCCCGCGTCTTTTCAGGTCTTCGGAGAGAAAATTGGTGAAGGATCGTTAGAAGGCTGCTTCGAGGTGCGAGAGCACATCAACTTGAGAAGCAACATGATAAGCTACAAGCTACATGGTTTATTCCGTTGGCATTGTGCATGCAACCTTTTTCCCGTTTCATTTTCCAACTGTGAAGGCTTGCCTCTCTCATGCATGACTTCATGCACTTGCACGTGGCTATCTAGTATTTGTGGTAGCCCTAGGGTTTTCTGTGAGTACATTGAGTAGGGCAACTCGTGCTCTCTATATATAGAATGTATACAATGCTCCTTATCTTTCTCATTTGTTCAACAACTTTTGTTTCCTCTCTCATTAATATTTTTGGCTGATTTCTTGATCCTCCAACATGGTATCAGAGCAGGTTANCCCCCCCCCTCCCCCCTTCTTCTCGATCATTTATTGCTATTTGTCCTCAAATTACCATTTGCTTTAATGGTTGACTCCTCCACCATACAATCAACACATCATCCTTCGGTTTATGGACCTCAAAACTCCCTTGTCTATTCTCATCATCAGCTTGTCTCTGTATAACTCACATATTCAAACTTTCTTTTATGGAAGCAACAAGTTTTCACTACCATCAAAGGATATGGCCTGAAAAATTTCATCTTTGAGTTCATATCGTGCTCCCTCACAAACCATTATTGAAGAAGGAACATGCCATATCCTAGTGAATCCTGAGTACGTTAGTTGGGTTAGACAAATATCAACTCCTTGCAAGTTGGCTCCTTTCACCTTTCTCTAAAAATCTCCTAATTATGATAATGGTAAAGATCACCTCTCAAGAGATCTGACAAGCTCTGGAGTCCAACTACTACGGTCAGGCAAAGGCTGGACTCATGCATTTCAAACTCTAGTTGCCGACTCTTAAAAAGGGAAACATCCATATATGAGGGTATTCTTGTCATAAGCTAAAGGGCAAAATTACAAAAATGATACACTAAGTTGGGCGTTTTCAACAAAAGAGACAATTTGTTGTCCCTCACGGAAAAGATACACTTAGTTTGCTTTTTGCACGAAAAAGATACAAATTTACAAAAACGATACACTAAGTCTAAGTGTATCGCTTATGCCTGACTTTGGATTGTTTATGCGTAACTTTAGTGTATCGTTTTTGTAAATTTGTATATTTTTCGTTCAAAAAGCCAACTAAGTGTATCTTTTCAGTGAGAGACAACAAATTGTCTCTTTTGTTGACAACGCCCAACATAGTGTATCATTTTTGTAATTTTGCCAAAGTTAAAGCTTGCTGTGATTCCCTAAGAACAACTAGTGAGGCAGTAAGTGAGCAGAACCATATCCTTTATATCCTTGGTGGTCTTGAAGCTGAATACAATGTTGTTGTGGTGGCAGTCACTACAAGAATTGACAAGAATTCTCAATCAAACCAAGAGGGTTATTATCGACAAAAAAACACAAATTGGAGAAAACATGAAGGCAAGATAGTTCTGTATGTGGTGGAGTTCTGTTTAGACGCGAAGTCTGCAATTTCATGCTCTAAGTAAAAGTCTGATAAAACAATTGCCCAAAGTGATTCTTATGTTCATCAAACCTACTGCTGACTAGAAGAGACAAAAATAAAAGTGATATCTTGGAGGAAAAAATAATGTTCAAACAGTTTAGCTTATACTGCGATATGAACATGAAATGCAATAGTATAAGGATGTCTGATATTCATAAGAGTTTGAGTTGAAATGTATATGTTTCCTCAATACGTTCTGTTTTTGCACCATGAGTTTTACGAGGTTAGACGCTAAAAGATTTTAGTCAATGGAAAAACATGCAAATGCTACTTATATGAATGCTTACATGAAATGCCTTTGTGATTGGTGGCACTTACCCAAGAAGCCAAGAAAATTGAAAATTACAGTGTTACCTTAATTATTTAATACCCATATGCATGTAAGAACTAAAGTATTTTTAACAATGCGAATTCTATTAGGTTACTTCTAAAATATTTGAACTGAAGTATTTTTAACAATGTGAATTATGTTAGCTCCACCAACGTTACAGTCAAGGTTAACCAGCGTTTGAAATATGGCAAAAACCTTGAGGGCGATTGTGATTGCCAACTCAGTTGTCAATCAATCTTGACTATGGCTCATAAGTCGTAATCAACTTGGTTGAGGCCTCTGACAAACTCAACTTGCGTTTAGCTCAACTCTTACTAACCAAAATTTCTATCTAGCTTAACTACGGCTCGTATTCAGCTTGGTTGAATGAAGCCTCCGACTAGCTCAATTGCAACCACAATACTTGGGCCAAGGTCCAGGATTACACAGCACAACCACTCAGTGATTCCTTTTCATAATTTGATAGAATATACATGTATATATATTTATGATGGTGGAGGGACACACGTGACCTATAGCTGGGTCTCGTCTTGTCTAACCCGTTACGGCAACAACCAATTAGACAAAAATCCAAATAGCACACGCAGTTTCATACACGCAAATATCATGACGGGGCCCAATACTATGATATTCGTTTGTTGGGCTCCAACTTGCAGCTTTCACGATAGCCTGTCCGTGGGACCCAACACAAATTATTTTGGGCTAGCTGCATAGCATATTGTACATTCCCACGCAGTTGAGTTTTAACCGTTATCAATATAAAATTATATGAGTGCTTAAGTATGTATGATCCAATATGGACACAAGGATCCAACTTTTCACATTCCTAGAATGGTATGCAACTAAGAAGTAAGAACCATGAGAATGTTATTTTTAATTATATAAGATGTTATTTTTTATATAATATAATGCTACAATGTACACATATGCTATTATCTTTGTATTATTATCGTTTTTTGAAAATGAACCTTAATTTAAAACAGCCCAAAAAAAATTTGAAAAATGGTATTAAAAATAGAGCTTTCACGGTTACAGAGCAATGTCGTACTTGAACCATATACATATGCAATGTTGTAGTATTGTAGTTTGATTCTTCATGTGACCTTCAAAAATAAATAACAATTTCCTAAAGAGAAAAAGGGGATCAATAGTCAAATACTAATTCAATGCAGAAGAAAATTTGTCAATATCTCAATCCAGTGGTGCCGACACAAACCTTTAACCAAAATGTCATGGTGTATTGGTGGGAGCCAAATTGAGCATTCAATATGAAAACTTGCATTTCTTACAAGCAAAATTGAATATAATAAAGTAGCTTCACTCGACACGATAGACAAAATGCAACAGTGTATATATACAAAATTTCAAAAAGAGAAAAATAAAAAAGGAAAAAATAATATTAGTTTTGTGACTGTAGAATACATGTACAAATACGCACAATTCAGCTGCTTCTGCAACAATTGGGACGAAAATGAACTTGTGCAGAATCATATAGACATATAACTAAATGTAGATTAAAGTTTAAATTTCAAAGTGCACAACAGACTTTCAAGATATTACTGACTCTGGAATCCGGACGCAAATCTCTTTAATCACGAACCGAACATGGCAATTATGGCGCTATATTGCATTCCCTCAAATATTGGTGGTCATAATCCACGTACTTTGTCCAGTAGTTTCTGAACTTTGGTAGTCCAATCTCGAGCCAGGGTTTCAAGTTGCCGTTGTAGTGTACAACGGCTGCACGCTCGATATCCTTTTGAGGTACGTTCGGATTATAACCGAGTCCCAACACATGCCATGACTTGTCAAGAGCGTAAGTTCGATTCCAAAAGGTTATTAGGCCAGGTGGCAAAGTTCCTAGCTTCCAAAGTAGCCTGTCGTGATTCTGAACGTAAAAGAGAATTCTGGTTTAGTTTCGGACTAAAAAAGTACTCAAATCTTGGAAATGGTTGTCTTCCAGGCACGCAGTTATATACATGTCAATCATCTAATGAAATATGAATCAGAACATGATTTGAAACAGAAAATCTTCTTCCTATTAGAATACATAGTTCAACCCAACTGTCAACTTTAAGGGCGAAATTTAAAAATTTACTCGTGTAACTTTAGAGCCGTGGCAACAAGTGTGTTTGCAGAAAGCCATATAACCATATTTCCATCCCACGATTTCTTCGGCAAAATAATCATTTAACTAAAAGATTGTCGGACTTGATTCTAATACCAACAACGTTACTTGGCACAAGCAAATCCAAATGCTAGAAAAATTAGAGATGAAATAATTTATTTTTTTCAAATAGTTAAGTGCGATCATTTTTCAAACTTCTAATTTTACATGACTAAAGCAGATATGTAAAAAAACTTAATAAAACCATTTTGCGAGTACGGCAAACTCACAAATTTATTGCCTAAAAGTGTAAATAAAAGAAAAAAAAGCATAGATTCTTCAATTGTTTTTTAACCACAGCATCCTTACCAGGTTCTGCCACTTGTGATACACCTCCGTAATACTCTGCCGCCTCCACTCATTCAAATCGAATATGTTCATCCCAAAAGCCCAACCACAAGCTCGTGGGCTAAACTTCCTCGAGATAAGAGGATTCGAGAAATTGAGATATCGGTCAAACCTGTGAAAGCTCTCCCCACACGTCTCAACCACACCAATGACTTTTCCCTTTAGATTGAGCGACCATAATCCAGTGAGATCCCTTTGCACCACGATATCATCGTCCAAGAACAAAACCTTGCCAAGCTTTGGGAAAATCTCAGGAAGATAAAACCGGAGATGGTTCATGATCGAGAGGTACTTGGGATTCCTGAATTTTAAGTTGGAGTCGGGCTCTGCTCGACGGCTCTTGAAGTAGTAGTCTATCATGGATGGCGAACCCAACTGCCTTAGGACAGGACTGTAGCTCGAGTTTAGCCATGTGAATTCCTCCACATTCTGGACCTGTATGGTTGCGCCACCTGGCGGGTTGGCCAAGAACCACATTCTCATGGCCGCATAATTTAGCCTGTCCGTGACCACATGGAAAACGTGTTTTGGAGGATCCTGTCAGCACGGGAAGAGTTTATATCATTAATGACAAAGATAAATATATAAAATATTCCCTCCATCCTACGAAAAAATAGACTTGTTTACCTTTCACACAGTTTTAAAAAATAATCCATCATTCTAGTTGCAAAATGAAGTTTTTGAACATTTTCCTTATGTACAATTTATGTTAGTAGTTCTTACATTTTTATTTTTATCATATTTTGTTCATAGCGAAGCAGATTACTGAAGGCAAGAAAGAAATTTCATATACAAACTGTTAAAGGACAAATACCTATCTTTTTGAGACAAAAGAATTGAAGCCTATCTTTGCCAGATGGAGGGAGTGGTGAATAGAATTATGTCTAGAATAAAAAAAGAAATAATTATTTCACCTTTGCATGGGTTATTGTAGAGTTCACAACAACTGCTGCAGCCAAAACGTTGTCCGAAAACAAGGCATAGTGGTAAAGGTTAGGATCATCTAATTTTTCTTCATTTGGAAATTGCTGTTGGGATGAGTTCAACATGAAATACTCGGTTGAAAGGCGTAAAGGAAGACAATGGAGTCCTTTAGGGATTGTCTTGGCCGTTAAGTGGGTCAAAAACAAAGCCTGCTTCCTGTGCACTCTTAGCTGCTCGTCAGCCGAATGAAGCATGGCACGGAGTTTCTTGATCATGGCCCCACAATCATCTTCAATTTGTTTGCCTTTCAGAAGTGTTTGCTCCATTGCTTTTAACCTCTCAGAGGCACTAATCAAGAAAATTTGACAAAAGAAAAAAGAGAAAAAAAATTATGAAAACAAATAATTTATCCTATTTCATAGTTTCTTTTCTTTTCATTTAAGAGCCTGAATAATATATATATATATATATATATATATATAACAAACCTTCTCGGCAGGTCCAAGTCCCTTGTGGCATCACCAAGCACTCGATGAACTTCTTTAATACGCAACCGAAGCTCCCTCACAAAGTGAGGATTGTTACGGGTGGCCGAAAGGGAAAGATAAACCTTTGCCTGCATAAGTTGGTCCTTGAGCTGACGAATACGAGCATCTTGTGGCCCTGTTTGAACACTTTGTCTTTCAGTTACAGTCTTCACTTGCACCCTTGAAATTGCTTTGCGGGAGCTCCGGGGTGTTTTTATTTCCTGATAAAAAAGATGGACAGACAAAGAACCGGAAAATGAAAATCATAGATGCTGCATAAAGTCTGTCTGATTACTTATACAATGAATAAATCCATGATGAGATTTTACAGAGCCAATATGATAGCGGACTATCAGAGACTAGAATGATGCTTGCGGGCAAAGACACATGCTAACTGCATACGAGAACGAGAAAAATGATATGTCCAACAAACAGGAAGCTATGTTACGATGGATGTCAAAACTCTTAAAATGCTGACACGAATGCTCAGTAGCGTCAAACACATTAGACAGAAGAGAATAACATGAAAAACACAGAATGCGTTAAAAGCCTAAAACAATAATATTGCATAGCAATTCCTTCAATGGTAAAAAGCGTCTCACCATTTTCCCCAACAGGTTTTCAGATTTACCCTTCAGATGTTGGGTATTAATGTCTTTCCTCACACCATTTTGACCAGCACCATTTTTACTCTCAATTTTCAATTCATTTGCCTTTGAATTTTCTTTCCCTGATTCCCGGGCTGCCTCCTGCATCTGATCAGTAACTTTCCTAATGGGATTTTCATCCAAAGACTGGTTTTCACGTCCACTACTGCTCCAATAGAATGATCTGGAAGACCCATCTTCTGCTCCCGATTCTGTTATTATTCCATATAATTAAGTGAATAGTCTTCGGTAGCTAAGTTCACGAATCAAGCGCCAAAAACAGAAACAAAAGAAATGAATCTAATAAATTAAAAAAAAAAAAAACCTCCAGCGAGTTGTCTAGTAATGCGACCGTTTTCTTGGGATTTAGCATTGGAGTCTCCTATACTGGATTCTGATGATTTTTCTGAATAAACAATGCCCAATGGTTCTTTCAATGAGGTAGATGATTCCTATCAGTTATAAACATTAAACACAGTTAATCAAATCACAAAGATATAATATTTCTCATAAACAATACACTTGAAAAAACAGAAAAGGTAAGGGCATGGCAAGAAGTATACACCTGAGGAAGCACATGTAATGGCCTAACTTCACCAGTAAAAGTCTGAAAACAAGAAACCAAGAATTCAACATACCTCTTATCAGGAAAAACAGAAATCAAAACCAAAAGGCACAAAACACAAAAATTGACAATGTGAAATAGAACTTACAAAGGTAGAAACATCCTCCACAAACTCATCCCTGACTGTAAGAACGGAAAAGGAAAACACAAACCAATTAGGATAAA